ACAACACCTAAGCTTATTGCAATCATACAACATCAAATTAGATGGAAGTTATATGTGAGTAATTGTAAAATTTCATACAATGAATATATGTTGTTTCTTACAATTTGTAATTTCTTGGCTATTTATTATGATTTAAATTTGGATGATTTTTTTTTACTACATGTTCTTTAATTAGGCGATTAATCTTCTTACGCAACATTTTTTTTAAACAAGTGAGAGTTAATATACGAAAATACGAGTTAAAATGGTTGAGAATTTCTGGCTAATATTAGCACAGATTCTCACCTCAAACAATTGTATTATGACAATAATTGATGTTACACATGCTCAAAATTTTTTTTTTTTTTCCAAATATATATAGGAATAATTAATCTAATCCATAACATATAATCACTGTTTTAAATACACTAGAAATTGATCACTTTCAAATAATCATATTTTAATTACCAATCATATTTTAATTAAATCGGTAAAACAGGTTTGAATTGAACTGGTTTTAATAAAAAAATATTTAGAACCAATTTTTTAATATATTTTTAATAAATATATAATATATTTTATTTTATTTATTTCATATTAGTTAAATCTTCATTATATTTGTATCTTAGTTTTCTTTTACCCTCTATTATATTTTGTATTTATATTTTTTATTATAACTTATAGTAATTATGACAGTAATTTTTTATAAAAAATATTATTACTAATAAACTTATTATATATTTATTATATTATAAAAATATTGTTTTATTAAACCTGATTGAATTTTTAAACCCTCAAATCATGTTTTCACGGATTTAAGATGATCCAGTTTTAAAAATATAACATAAAATGTATCTTTACAGACTCATTAAACAACCACGTAAATAATAATGAGTGTAAATCATTTAATGTATTGGTATATTATGTAATAATTTTATTATCAAAATAATATATATATATATATATATATATATATATATGAACAATTTTTGGGAGTTTTATTCTATAATTATTAGATATACATTATAGAGTATATGTATAAATGATGCAAATATATGTTAATTAAATTTCTTCTTTTCATGTTCAATTCAATAATTAAATTTCTTTCTTTTTAAACGTCTTTATATCATTAAAATTAAATAACGCATAATAAAAAGAACATATTTTTGAAAGATCAATGAACAGAACCTCATTCCTAACAATTAGGAAAACATAAAGAGGGAGAGGGTACAAATAATTAAATCATGATATAAATAATTTCACATAAAAGACTATATATTATTTACTTGTAAGATGATAAAAAATGTTACGACAATTTGTGCTTTAAAAATTCTTATCTTGTAAAACCAAATCAAAAGAATAATTCAACATAATACAAAAAATTAAAACAAAGCACAGAAATTATTTTAGTTCATCTAACCTTAACAATAATTTTAATTTTAACACATCATCAAATTCTACCATAACTTATAAGTTACAAATATTGTTTCAACTAATCTCTTATTGTTCAATCCAAGTAGTATTCCAATTATATCTTCCATCAAACGAACTTTTTCTCTAGATTTTTTCTTGATTTTGATAAATCAAAGATTTTTCACATTTAGAATTATCTCCACATGTCATAGAAAACCTTCATAGATACCCAACTCTCATGGAAAATTGATATACTATATCAAAATATATTATGTTACTTGGCTAGCTTTCAAATTGATAATTAGTAGTAATATTAATTTGATATAATTATGTCATGGAATAACATTGCCTAAAAGCAAAAATTCACTAACATAGCATTGTAATATGACATTTACTTTTACTCTCTAAGATAACATAGCATCATACTTGGACTTGTGTGCTTAATTACAATATTTTGATAGATCTCACAACTAAATGCCAATAAGATAGAGAGTAAGAGAAGTTGAGAAATAAGAAAGATGATATTTGAGTAGTCGTTATTTACCCATTTAGATGTTTGTTTGAATTTGCTTATTTTTTTTACTACAATATTTTGTTTTTATCACAAATATTTTTAATAAAATATTATCTTAATATAGATAAGTATAATAATAATTTTCAATATAGTTATTTTAAATTGTTATGATATATAAAAATTCTACATTAAAGTTGACATCATAAATAATATATATATATATATATATATATATATATATATATATATATTTCCTTTAATTTTATTCTTTAATTTTTGGTTTAGTTCTAATATGTTGATCAAAAGTTTCATATTGTTTAAGATGATGCTATCTTAGCATACTTTAGGTAAGAAAATTAGTGACATTTGCGTAAATAAAAATCACCACTCCTACCTTTTAGCTATTAAGGGGTACTTGTTCTATATGCTTAAAAAGTCTCATGATTATGAATTATTTTTTTAAGAATAAAATTGTGATACAACAAAATTCAAATTCTAAAATAAACAATATTTGAGATCCACAATAATAAACTTAAGGTTAGAAAGTTAGCATCATTTATATAAAACAAAAAAATGAGGGTTTAGGATAACTCATATAGCTCTCACTTATAAGTTATAATTTATAAACACTTTCTTCATAAATTTAAGGTTAAAATATTAGTATCAATTAGGTTAGATTAAGACATATGTTATGAATCAACTCACCTAACCCATTAAATACTTTAGACCAATTTGTATTCAAACTCTAAAGTGATAATATCTTAAATATAATAATTGACTTTATCAATTTTATTTTAATAGACTTGAGACATAAATATTGACTATGTTTACGTGGACAAACAAAAAGAACTTTAACTCACTCTTAACATTAACTAATTTTGATATTTCAAAAGTTTTACATTATTTATAAGTGGAGAGTTAAAAAAAGATGTAATTATCTCATAAGTATTATTATTATAATAATATAAAAATATATATTTGAATTTCAAACTCAATAGATTTGTGTATTGCTCGAGTTTAAAATATTCAATAGATATGACTGGAAATTCAATTATTAACAAAATAGCTGGTAACCAATAAAAAAATCATAATAATTTAAGTATTACATATGTTTATTATATTACTAATCAAATATCTTCGAAATAATTAAATTTTTATTATATATCTTATAAATTAGTATTTTTAATGTTTATATATTCAACATGTATAAATTCACGTAAATTTACACTCATTTATCTTATTGTTATTTTATTTATTTATTTTGACATATGTATTTCTGTCTATCACAACCAGACATATAAAATTTAAAGATTCCAAGAGTTTGATACACTAATTTTTTTTCCTCCAAAATATGGTTAAAATTATTAGTTAAGTTGAGACACTATTTTTTGGGTCAACGTGAAAGTTAAAACTAGTGGTTGAGTGTAGTAATATTTTGAACACATATCTTTCATGGAAATAAAAATGTATAATTGATATTAATTATTAATAATTGAATTCAATTTTCTTTATGAAAAATGTATATTAATAATTATTAAAAATAAAGCTACTTAAAAGTGGTAATAAAATAAGATGTAACATTACTATATATATTAGCTGGGTTTTGAAGATCAAGTGATATAAGAGTAGACGTGGAAGTGACAATGGTAGTGGGCGACAAAAATAAAAGGAGGTCAAAGGATTAATAATAAAAAAAAAGAATCAAACGAAGTTTTTAAATCAAACAAACTAAAATAAAAACATTATTGTAAACCAAACCACCATGATTCCATGTTTTGTAACAGAAATAGATATAGTAAACGGGTGATAAAAATATGAAAGATGTGTTTAAAATATGTCTCCAACAATTTTAGTAACAAACAAGAAAAGAACTTGATATTTTACATGAAATCCATTTGCTTGGGAGGTTACCTTCATTCCAACCTTCCATCATGATTGTGATTGTCTATAAAATGAGAACTCTTACTGCAAAGAAAGTGAGTTATACGTAGGAAATGTAGGACCAAGAATATGGTAGATCCCACTAACAAAAGGTTGGCATATTGCTGCATCAAGACCTAATTTTCTGTTGTTGCGTCAATAAAGATAGAAAATGACTTTGATATGAATGTATGCAGATAAAAGAATCTGAATTTATTATCTTTCTCTATTTTGGAGTTCTTTAAATAAGAGTGAAAAGCAAGTATGGTGCATTTTCCATTTTTATAATCTTCTAAAAATGAGACCCCTTAATTTGAGTGGCTTTCTTTATCCTAATGTATTAAATAAAACCAATAAAGCGGAAAAGGAAATACATTTCCCCCCTCTTTATCTAATCTTTTACTAAAAAAAGCAATATCCAGAGCGTTTAGCCATATAATTAACACCTCCCTTGAGTTGGGAGTATTATCATAACTATTTATACATTACATTTTTTCTTAACATGAAGTTGAAACAAAAGTTTTAGTATATGCCTCTAATTATGGCTGCACATCAACGGATGACCTATGTCCACACATTAGGTAAGTGGCAGAATTTGAATGCAAATATACAAAAAAAGAAGATAAAAATAGAGAAAAAACAAAGATGAAACCAACTCTCTCTATAGATAATGGGGAGAGCAAAGTACATGTGGGTTGATATTTGTGAAAGTGCAAGTAGTGCTATTTTGCATGATTAAAGGAGAAGAAAAAATAAAATAAAGGAAGCTTACATATCATAATCTGGGACTAAAATTATTAAAGTAGAGAATCTCCTAAAAAAGTAACAACAGAATTTCAATGAATACTTGCTTGTTTATTCTAAACCATTGGATTTTAGTCTAAGAATCTCCTTGCCTTTGTTTCTTCTCCTCCTAGTTTTCCTTGTCTCATTTATATATATTTATATATCTGTACACCAAGATATTTACTCAACAGATCACCTACTTGTGCAGCAAAAACACCTGTTCAGTTTACCAGGCTTAAGATGGTATCCAGGGAAGCCATAAAGAAACAATTTCTTGAGGAAAAGGAAGAACTTGTCAACAAAATGAGGTTCTACTTGCATAATTCTCATTTTTCATTACAATGCATAAGCACAATGAGAATTTGATTCGCCCCACTGTGAATCCCATTCAGGTTTGTTCATGGAAGGTAAGAGAGCGCGATAGAGCTGCAGGGTTGGCTTGCAACACTGATGATGCTTCAACCATGTGATTCGTGCCATTTCCCTTGGATGGAAATGCTTTGAAAAGGCCTCCAGAACTGGCCTTGTCATCCTTGGTTCCTAGTTTTGACCACATGGAACTCTTTGTAGTTTCACTAGGGTCATCAATTCTTAGAGTCCTGGGGATCAAGAAATTGTGTTCTGAATCTACATCACGCATTTCTTTCTGTGGATTGGATGAGGTGATGATTTTCCCATTCCTAGAATGTTTCCCCAAAGTAGGGGCAGAGACAGAGTTGTTAACAGAAGATTGGGGTGTGATACATGACATATTCCAAGAGGGTGGTATACAACCCCAATATGCTGGTGTAGGATAGAATGATAAAGGGTAGCCTGGTGGGCAGAATGTAGGAGGAGGCATAGGATATGGCCAAGGGGCACTTGAGAAGTATGGTAATTGAGGAGTGAAACCTTCAACTCTTTTATCCACTGTTTCATGTGAGCCACTATGGCTGGAAGTTGAAGTTGTTGAAACAGAAACTCCAGTAGAATGAGCACCCCCATCACCTTCCTTACTAAAGGAAACAAAACTATTTGTCTCATTTGCATGAAACCCATTTGATACACAACTTTGTGCTCGCTCAGCAATGTTCAAAACAGAAGCCATGGAATCACAGAGAGGGGAATCAGGACCAAAACTCAACACAGCTGCTCCGTTTCCCAAAAGGGCATTATGCAATCCATTGGAGACATTGAGTGTAGCACCTTGGAGTGCTTCCGGGATCATTATGTTCCCGTAATGTGATGCAGCCGCTGAAGTGTTCTTGTTTTTTCTGCGACCAGCCCCCACCGGCACATTCCTCATTGTTCCTCCTGCAGTCCAGTATCTTTGACAGTTCTTGCAGAAATGACGAGGCTGGTTGACGTTGTAGTTGTTGTAATAGCAGAATTTGGTTTCCATGCTATTGCAACGTGGACATGGAAGTACCTTGTCAGGTTTCTTCGGTGTTTTTTCTTCAGAAGCACTAGTCTCGCTTTGTTCTCCATTTGCAGGGGATTTCATCAGTGATGTCTCTGTTTCCACTGAGGGAGTCTTAGGATTCTCGAGTATGCCTGAGGATGTTGTAGGAGATTTTAAATCTTCTGTGGTTTTATGTGATGAGGCATCATCATCTTCAAGTGAGGTAAGTTCTTTCCTTAATGGTTCCTAAAAGAATGAGCATGATCAACGTTAGAATTGCCAATTTACTACGGTTAAGCTTGTGGTATAAGAAAACAGTAAACTCAATACCTCAAATCAAGAGGAAAAAAAAATATGAACAAAGAAAATTGGTACAATGACATTTATCATTTATAGAGTATATGACACGTTAAGATATACAGGTTTTTCTTGAACAGTGTTATGACATAGTACAAAAGAGAAGGATTAGACAGGTGAAATAGACACTGTTTTTGTTTGACTTGGTGACGCTGATTCAACATATAAAAATCTTATATATTTTGAGCACAAGGCAGGAGGGCGAGGGAATTCACACCACCAAAAACATTGCAGAAATGATTTTTCCTTTCACGCTAAGGAAGTTAACAGTGTAAGTACTTTGTTTAATGAATGAAATCGCTCTCACGTGAAAGTACAAGGAGGATAGTCAATAGAACAAATCAGTACCAAAATCTCAATTCTAGACATGCCAAACAAAATCACAATTCAAGATGCGTATGTATATATATGTATTAGACAATCACAAAAATGATATTTTGATATTTACAAATACAGGAATATAAAAGCAAAGAAAGTTCTGGAATTCAGGATGGTGAAGAAGAAAATTAAGGGTATGAAACAGCAGGAAAATAATTAAATCAAACTTAGTCTATAAATATGTCCTGAGTGATGTCACACCATTAGGGGTCATTTGGACCATTGATAAGTAAGGACTTGAATATGTACAAAAGTGTCAAATTAAAATAGTTAAGCTCCACTTAAAGTCCTTGGCGTGAAAAGCAACTTGATTAGAGTTAAGTAAAACAAGAAATATTCGAGCCAAAGACTCAACACTAGAACATCTGTGCTGCTACAAGAGATCCAATAAGAAATGGACACAAAAGATTATTTTTCTTTTTCTAAACTTCAATTGAAGTTGCTAAGCAACCCGTTTAGGACAATATTTTCTAAACATGAAGGAATTACTAGAATTAGAAAACTCACTTTGTAGCATAAAAGCAAATTCATGGACCCAAACAGAATCGCTATAACCAAAGCTAGCCAACCCACATAATATATTCCATCCAATATTCTTATACTTGTATTCCATAAGGGAGATTGGATCCAATTTGGCCGAAAGGAACCCCACAACTAATTCTCGCCACCACTTAAAAAATGATTAAATAAATTCAAAACCCATATATTAAAAACTTCTCACATTAAAAAAAATCAAAAATAGCCATAGAAAATTGCAGCAAGGCCTGAATTCAATTCAATTGACACCAAGCCAAGAAAACTTTTTAAAGATTTGAAAAAACCCATTAGCAATTGCGAGGTTCTGAAAAATGGGTCGCTGTTAGATTTGCAATCGCCATGGTTTTCCACAAACTCAACCAAAAACAAACATGCTGGTGGCCGTACCTCGTCTTCTTGGTGGTGTTGTGGTGCAGAGGTGACTTGCGGGAGAGAAGACGAAGATGAAGGACAACAAGAGAGACGCTGAGGTACAGAAGAATCATGGTGTGACAGGGAAATTGTCCTTCCAAAGAGCTTTATCGCAGAGTCTTTAACTTCTGACATTCCTGAGTTATAAAAACGGTGATGAGGGTCAGGGTCAGGGTCAGGAATATCTCTCTTGTTGTTGCTGGCTTGCTCCTTCTCTTTCTAGAAAAATGGGGAAAGTAACGAGGAAAAATATGTACGTAAGTACAGGTAGATAGATATATAGATGTTTTTGTTGGTGGTGGTGATGCTGTGTTGAGTAACTTTTTTTTTTTTTGGTGTCTTTTGCACTGTTAATTGATATGAAAATGGATAATGAATAGTGACTGAAAGAGGGGATGGGTGAAGTGGTGAAGTTTGTTTGTGTGTGTTGGTGTTGGGTGTGGTTTTATTTTAGGGAGAGGAGAAGGAAAAAATGTTGCCACCTCAGAAAAAGAGGGGAATTTTGTGAGCCACAAGTTCTTGTGGCCTATGAGATCTTTGTGTGCTGTTGGATTCCCCCACATTGCTTCTAAAGATAGTGCTGTTCTGTCCCACCCTTTTTCATCCCCGTCAGCACTTTTATTTTTTGCCTTTTTCGTCAACCACTCTAGTAACACTTTCTTCCTTCCTAGTCAAATTGGCTCCCACTTCCCAATTTTGACCCCACCCCTTCTTTCTCCTAATTTTACTTCTTCATTAAAAAATATTTTAAATCATGCATAACACTAACATATAATTTCATATGATAAATATTAAGTAATTTTGAAATCAATTTAATTCATTAATATTATTGTTCTTAATTTAAATGTTTTTAATGTTAAATAAATGTCATGCTTTGACTTTTTTCTATAACGTAACTATTTCTAGGGAAAAACTACTCCGATATAGAATAATACTCCTCTTTAATATAAAATGCAGTTTAAGAAAGAAAAAAAACGATGGTTGTTTTTACTTTGCATTTTATAAATTGTACCAAGCATTGATTATTTTTCTTATTTGTCCCATATTAAATGTTATAAATATATGTTTTTTTATGAATAAATAATGTGGAATTTGTTTAAAAAATCATTAATGATGACAGACTGGGGTTGCATTTTTTTTAAATGAACTGAAAATTAATTACTTTTGTTGAATATGTGTAATTATGTTATTCATTATTTTATCAATTATGTTTAAATGAATTAATTATTTTTATTAATATTGTACTTATGTTATTAATTATTTTTATTTATTATGTTATAAATGAGTTATTAATTATTTTTATTAGTGCTTTATTAAAATAATAATTACATAAACGTTGTTCTTTAAGCAGTATATACTTATGATTTTATTAATGAATTTCACATTATTAAATACTTTACAAGTTATGTATATCTTCATTTTATTCTAATAGTTATTGAGATAAATTGATGTCTCTTATTATTTATTATATTAAATATAACACGCATGTTTTTGCAAGTGACATACATGCATGAAGTAGAAAAAAAAAATTCGTGGAAATTATTGAAAATTACTTAACTTTGATTCTTTTAATATTGATGAGATGAAACTTATTGTTGTGATGTTTGGAATATACAAAAACCTTTGATTGGAGGCATATTTGATTCAAATATAATTCTCTCTTAATTATTATACTTTTTAGAGATTTTAATAGTGTCTTAAAAATTATATATATATATATATAAGAAATTTTTTATTTTTAAGCCTTAAATATAAAGATAATTTTATTTGATAAAGAAATTTTATAATTTTATTGAGTTGATTTGTTTAGAAAAAATATACTTAATTTCGCTCAACCACTTTTATGAGTTATATTATGTCCAGGGGGAAATATATTATATGTATAAATAATTTTTTTTTCATAAACACTCAAAAATAAAATCAATATTTTAATAAAATAAAATAACTTATATTATAAGTTAAAATTCATCTTTTGGACAAACTAGAAAATTTCAGCAAACCCATGTATACATACAGTAATTTTAAAGAAATTTAATTTTTTCTACTTTATTGAGAAGTTTATCTAAATATTTGGATAACTTTTATATATGATTGAACACTTAAAAATAAAACTTGTTTTGTTTATTATAATTTTACCTAATTAAAATAAATTTGGTTAAGAAAATATATGTAATTTAGTAAGAAAATAATATTTTTATTTTATATTTTGTTTTTGTCAAAAGAAATATAAGGTTTTATGGTATGTTAATTGTTGGAGAGAAAAATAGTAAAAATTATCATGCTCAGAATTATTAGATTGAATACTCAAAACCAAACTTTTTCGTTCATTATAATTTATCTGATTAAAATTCAATTATATGTGAAAATATATACTTAATCTAGTAAAAAAAACTTTATATTAGTTTTCGTTAAAATAAATAATTGATTTTATGGTATTTTTGGTTGAGTGAAAATATAACAACTTATCTAAACATCCTTATGAATGGTTCTAAATGATTGAATGCTCAAAAACAGAAACTTTCTGTTTAACATAATTTTACCTAATTCAGATAAAACTTTTTATGAAAAAATATATGTAATCTAGTAAGAAGTGTGTAACTTTGTTGTTTTAATAATATATTTTTAACACATTTTACCACTTACTGAGAACATTCATCAATATGTAACTTTCATATTTATTGTGTGCTAGTGTGATACTGCATTTTGTGTTGCTCTTCCTAATCACAGTTTTTCCTTAATTGGCCAAGACATTTTTCTTATGTATTACCTCAGTTTCTTTCTCTTAGGGTTTCTCTCATAATAATTAACTTTCTATTTTCGATTATAAATACTATGTTTATATACAATTGATGTACGTGTGTATGCATTATGAATAATATACATTGACTATTTTCACTTCCTTATAACATCTTTTTTTATACTATTCCTCTCTCTTGATACTCTATCCAAGACATTTCCCACAAATAATGTTATCAAAAACTTCAAGATCTAGGAAGAAGAAAATTAATGGTAATGACAAAATTGAGTTTCATGACAACATACTAATGCTAGATAGTAAGAATTTGAATAATTATGATAGTTGGTGTATGAAGATGAACACTATCTTTAGATTTCAAGAAATCTTGGATATCGTTCTGACCGAATATAATGAGTTACCAGAGAATCACTTAAACACAACATGTTATGTTTCGTGATGCGAAGAAATGTGAATGTAAATCCTTATTTTATATTCATTAGTGTGTTGATGAGAATAACTTTGAGAAGATTTCATTGGAGAGCACGAAGAAAGAAGTTTTGAATATAAAGTTATACATGAGTAGAACAGTTAAAGATGGTGTGACTTAAAACCTTATATCGTTAATATGAGTTGTTACAGATGAGAAGTCAAGAAACTATTCAAGAATACTTTATAAGAATTCTCTCTCACACAACACACAATCTTGATGAAATCGTGTGGTGAAAGTTTAAAAGAACGAACGATGGTAGAAAAGGTATTATGGACCTTCGATGTAAGATTTAATATAATTTTTGTCATAATCGAAGAATCCAAAAATTTTAATTTGTTGAAGTTGAAAGAGTTATATGGGTCATTGAAGACTCATGAACAATGTTTACGTGAAAGAGCACATGATAAATCCAATTTAGAATAAGCCTTATTCGCGAAGAAAAATTAGAAGAATGAAGGTAATCGAGGAAAATTCAACAAGAGAGGTTGCAAAAGATTGTTCAAAGGCTTTGTCATCTCTGATGAAATGAAATCTTATTTCAATATGTTTGCTTCTTCCATAATGAATTTGATTCTTTGTCAAATTGATAGCTGATTTATTATCTATCTTCAAAGTAATAGTCTTCTCAAATTTGCTAAGAACTTAATTCACCAAACTCTCGATCCAAAGTGCTTAATAGGCTGTGTATGCGACAAACATATATTTTGCTTCACAAGAAGAAAGTGTCAGAGGTTGTAACTTTGAGCACCATGAAATTGATGACTTACCTAACAAGAACATATAACCTGATGTACTTCTAACCAACTTCATCACCATCCTAATCTAAATCGGAATAACCAACTAAGTCTCCTCCATTTTGATGTGCAATATTAGGTAATAAAATACCATAATCGATTGTTCCTCTTATGTACCTCAAATTCTCTTGGTTGATGCAAGGTGAGATGTTTTGGGTTTCTCCATGAATCTTCTCAGCAATCCAACACCAAAACAAATATCTAATCTACTACAACACATATATCTTAGACAACCAACTATTTGTCTATAAATCATAGCATTTACAAGTTTTTCATCTTCATCTCTATCTAACTTTAAATTTGTCTTGACGAGTGTAGTTGTCACATTACATTCACTTATTTTGAACTTCTTTAATATACTTCTTTACTATATTTGTTTTGGTGAACTAGAATCATTTACTTGTCTTTGATAAACTCCATACCTAGAAAATATGACAACCTTCCTAGATTAATTATCTCAAACTGATCTTTCGTTCTTCTTTTGAAATTGTCGATTGATGTAATTTTGTTATCAGTTATTAACAGATCATCGACGTACAAACATACTATTAATACATCACCACTCTTAATTTTTGAGTAAATCGTATACTTCACTTCAAACTTTAAGAATCATTATTGTCGAAGACAACCATTGATTTTGATTTTTCAGATTGTTGAAGCTTGTTTCAGACCATACAAAGTCTTATTCAATTTGAGTACCTTTTGTTCTTCTCCAATAATCACGAACCTTGGTGGTTGTGTAACATACACTTCTTTCTCTAGTTTACTATTTAAAAATTTAGATTTAACATTTCTTTGATGCATTTCTCATCCTTTGTAACTTGCAAGAGCTACAACAATTCTCATTATCTCCATCCTAACCACTTGTTAAGTGGTAAAAAGTTGATATAATTATGCCTTAAATTATTATGAAACCATTTAACTTATGTTAATTCTAATATATTTTTCTCCCAATATAGGATGAATTCGAGAATACCTTGATACAAGAGTAAGATGTTGGCAAATTTTGGGTCATGTATATATATGATACATAATTTAAATGTGTTAGGGTCATTATTTATTAAGCCAAATAATAAATTGATCTGACTAAATTAAAGTTTTGGCTAAAGACATATGTCATGAAAATAAAATTGTGTAGAGACCATAGAGCACTTTCTAATTTGATGAGGGGCCAAATTGGAAATACTAAAACTTAAGTAATTAACCTAATTCTGGTTATCTAAAGGGTCATGGTCCCCTTCTGGGAGCACACACACAGAACGTAAGTATCAGTCCCGTTCCTTTCTTTCTATCCCCATCAAGAGAGAAAATCAAGAGGGAAATACAGGTGCTCTTCAGGTGGAAGACCATAAGATCAATATAGTGCTCTACAAAGACATCATCGTTATGGCTAATTCAGGTACGCTTTCGCATTCAGTTTACAACATGTTTATCAGTATGGGATTACGTTTATGTTTGATCGTTAGAATCAAAATCAGGATTATTATTACAATTATTGTTTTTCCAACAATTGGTATCAGAGCCGCCCATATTTGATTCATG